AAAGCTGCTGGGCATTGAGGCTCCAGGGCCACTCAAGATCTCCCAAACTTTGCAATACGATCCTAAAAACTTCTTCCAAGGTTACCATCTCACCTCTATTTTTAATGGCCAAAAGGGGAAAATTATTAAGTAAACTAGTAAGTAAGTAAACTAGGCTTAGTTTTTGTCTATTATGCTTATGCTTGCTGATTTGATCGGTTTCTTTTCTAATCCATGGGATATCGTTGTAGCCGTTGAATTTAAGAGGTTTAAGTTGAAATGAAATTTTCATTCAATTTTCATTCAGATTTATGTTTAAATTACATTTTAAAGCACTTAAAAAAAAAAGATGTAGCTAGAACAGTTACAAAAATGACAGGTTAAGTGAATGTTAGCACCACTGTATAATTTTAGGCTTTTAATGGTTGTACCTTGTATTTTGATCAATGCTTGTTCCTTCAGTACCTGTCTGAGTAAAAACGTGAGATATACATTAAATAAAAAAATAATAATTGATTGACTCACAGATGACTGAAAATTAAATGATGGAAAAGACATCCATGCATTACAAACAAAAGGAATTGTTTGGTTAGGCTTTGGGTAGGTAAGCCGAGAGAGTAAATTAATAAACTAGTGAGAAGCCAAAAGGAGATCAGAGAATATTCAAAGATTTTCTTCCATAGACATTTTTAAAGTGTCTGTGATGTCTATAAAAACGGGTAAGGCTTTGATTGTTTGGTTGTGGCTGCCAACTTGACTTTTTTGACCCATCCCCTGTGACCACCTCTGTGTAGCCTGCCTCCTGCTGGTCAGGCAGGATATCCTGAGACCTTTCCTCTCTCAACCCTTCTGCACTGTTCAGATATTTGCCTGATTTGCTCTCCCTCCGTAATGGAAGAGAGCAGGCCACAGGCTCTCTGCTGGCGACTGGCTGAAGTGAGTCAACTTTCCTATCTGCCTTTTATATCCTAAATAAAGCTTATCTTTATTTTCCTTTCCCATAAGCAGCAGCGTCCAGAATAGGTCCTTATAAAAGTTATACTCCTAACTTTAGTGTTCCTGTCTCTGTGCATTCTTTCCATTGTATAAAGTTATCTGCTATGCAGCAAAGATGACCCATAAAAGCAGTGGGTTTGGGCACATTAGGTCCTGCCAGCTGCTCTCCTCTGGGTGGGGGAGAGAGGAACTTTGCCCAGGGCTCCTAGAAACCCTAGTGCAGGTAGGCCTTGCTTAGTGACTGCCCTGTTTAGTGACTGTTCAAAGTTATGATGGTGCTGAAAAAGTAACTTTATGATCAGTCCTTGCATTTATCACCATTGCACTGTCCCTGAGGTCACGTGATTGCAATTTGGGTACTTCACATTTATGACCGTCGCAGTGTCCAACAGTCATGTGATTGCCATTTGCGTGCTTCAAAGCCAGCTTCTGACAAGCAGAGTCAACAGAGAAGCCAGCAGTAAAATCTCAAGTCATGGTAGCGTGATGTCTCACTTAATGACTGTGGTGATTCGCTTAACTACCATGGCGGAAGTGAGGTCATAGATCAGTTGTGGTCACATGATGCCTCTCTTATTGACTGCATCATTTAGCAACAAAGTTGTGTGTCCCAATTGTGGTCATTAAGCGAGGACTACCTGTAGTTCCCCAGGGCTGTTGACCAACTTTTGATCAATTCCTATTTTATGTGCACAAAATTGCCTCATACAGCTTAAATATACAATAAATATGACTCTTTCCAAGAGGAACTGGTTCACAACTTGGGGATCCCTCTGGCCTTGGGGTTTCTGTTGGGGGGGCTTTGCCCAGCTTTGGCTGGTGGACCAACTCCACCCCTCTGGACCCAGATGCTCTAGTGACAGTATCTCAGGCTCTGATCACAATCTGATGGGACACTCAATGGAGAGTGGACTTTTTTTATAATAACTTTATTAAATTTTAAAAACAGAAATAAAGTAACAAGAACTAATAATTGAGGGAAAGAATAGAAGAAAAGAAAGTGTAAAGAGAAGGAAGGAAAGCAGAAGTGCAGAAAAAGAAAGAAAAGAAACAGAAATACAAAAAAGGAATGACTTCCGACTTCTTTTACAGCAGATATAAGTAAAACATACATTAAACGCTTACTCTAATATTACAACTTAACATCCATTTTTCTATAACCTATTAATTTTACTAATCATCAAATCCATACATCATAATTTCATTTCTTTCTGTTTTCCGCAGAAAGTCCAAAAGGGGCTTCCAGTTAGTGTTAAAATTAGTCAATATCTTTTCTCTAGTCAAAGTCAGTTTTGCCATCTCAGCTAGTTCCATCAACTTCACCATCCATTCTTCCATCATAGGTAATATCGAGTCTTTCCATCTTGGAGCATATAAAAGCCTCCCTGCAGTTATCATCCATAAAAACAAAATTCCATGAGATTTTTTCCAGTTGTTTGTCCCTCAGCCCCAAAAGAAATGTTTTTGATAACGGAGAGAGGACTCAGAAGCTGTAGCTAGTACAAAATACAGCAGTCAACTGCTGGTGAGACAAAGCTGTCAGCAAAGAGTAACACTGATTAACGTTAACTGTCTTGGTCCCTCTAAGCTTCCAGGGCCAATTCAAAGAGCTGAATATTATCTTCAAAGCCCTGTGTGGTTCAACAACAGCATGTATAGGGCTGTATAGCCTTGCCAAAAGTGAATCTCTTGGTCCATTCCAATAATCTAGACCAGTGTTTTTCAACCTTGCCAACTTGAAGATGTGTGGACTTCAACTCCCAGAATTCCCCAGCCAGCTTGTTGAAAAACACAGATCTAGACAGCCTGTTGAGAATCTGCCCCCTCAAGAAGTACAGGGGTGTGGGGACCAGGTGACAGGACACCCACCCTCAGGGACATTTTTCCCCCGGATGTATCTTCACTCCCATCCCTTCTTGCATTTTCACCAGCAGGTGAAGACCACGCTATTCCTTTGGCCTTTGTTGAGAGTGGGGGCCCATTGTTATTGGAGTCCATTGGAGTTGGGTGGCTAATATATTTAAATAAATAAAATAAATAAATAAATAGGAATGTTCTTTGGGGGTTTTATCAGCTGTTTGTGATTTGTGGTGCATCGCCCTGAGGTCCTCAGGATCAGGGCAAGCTAACCAACAGCATTTAATAAATATATAAAATCAATTTTTCCCCAAATTTTTTCTGGGCATTAAGAGAGACTGGTGCCCAGTATCAGGGAAAAAGAAATCAGAGTGATTAAAAATAAAATGCAGAATTTGTACAGACTTAGAACTTACAGTTGTCTATTATTATGTCTCAGGAATAATGGCCTTGTTAAAATACTGCCTATTTATTGCTTGGCTCAATTATTTTCTAACAACCAACAAATACTTTTATAGCCATGGCCTCTGCAATTGTAAACTCTCTCGCGTGTGACACTCTGGTCTGTGGGCAGAAGCTAACACCACAATTAATCTCTTAGTCTAAAAGGTGCCATGAAATTCTTCGCTGTTTATGGCTTTATGGCTCCCAGCGAGACAGGTTTGTTAACAGAAGAAAGACTCATTGCAAACGGGCAACTGGAACATGTAAACGGATGTCAGTAATATATTTTTGATTTACCTTAAACAAGAGGGGAAAACATGGCGGCGAGATGTGTAAATATTTGGCCAGGCATAGAGTCAGTTAGGACTGCAGCCTTTTCGAATCTGTGGACCGGTCCAGATGTGCAGAATGTCAATCCTCATCATACCCAACCAGGACCATACTGGTTAGGAATAAAGCGGATTGAAATGAAACTCTTGGGGCAGGCTCCAGACTGGGTAAAGCTTTTCAAGAGGACCAGTAGGGTTTGCAACAGAAGGTTACACCACAAAGTATGGTTGCTCACCAATACAACCGTGCCATTCTACCCAGTTCCTGAATTCCACTTTCCTTCCCATGATATCCAATATTCAGATTTCTTATTGGGTGCAATTCAAGGGGCTTGTTATCACTTCAAAGTCCTGAATGACACAGGGCCAGGTTCTTTGTAGGACCACTTCTCCCTGAGGGTATCAATCTGTTCCACCACGTCATATAGAGTGGATGTGCTCCAGGTCCCTTCCCTTACATCTGGTGGGACCTAGGTGTCTTCTCAGTAGCGGTCCCTGCCTTTTGGAACACCCTCCTCATGAGATCTGGCAGGACCTCACCCTCCTTGCCTTCTGGAAAGCCTTGAAGAGCTGGCTCTTCCCCACAAGCCTTGGGGTAGAGTGCGATTGGAGCCCAGTAAAATGGTTTGTAGACCTGTAGGGATGTGTTGTGATTGGGGACAATGGGAGTTTTTGTGATATTTTTTTTTTTTCTTTTTTTGTTTTTATTGCTGTTTGTAAACTCAGGGTTATGGCGTGTAAGAT